TTGGCGTGATGGGAACTTAGAAGCATAGAGCTGTGCATCAAAGTGAATTTTATATAATAAAAGCAGTAAAGTAAAAAGAAGAAAAAAAAGTAAAATAAAAAAAACTCATTAAATTCTTATGGATATTTGAGGCAATGGAAAATTTACAAGCCTCAATATAACAAGTAAGTGAATCACATGTCTTTTTATCAATGTTATACACAAAATGTACGGGACACTATAAACATGTCTTTTTATTTTCTTTGGCAAGAAGCTTATAGACTGAATAGGATTTGCCAAAATTTACTTTGTACTGTCTGCCAAATATGCAGATAAATAAGCAAAGTCTAGTTTGTAGTTGGATAAGTGATCAATGGTCTTTTATGTTTTCTGCAGTTTCATTAAGACTACAGAGAAATTAAGATGACTTGATATTCTCTTTTTGAAATCCAAGTACCTAAGAGTCAGGGAGAATGTTTGTTGTTGCTGCCGTGGATAACTAGCAAGCATGATCCTTGGTGAGAGCTGCCAGAATCAGCTTTGCACTGTATAGACCAACACATGTGTTAGAATTTTCTCCTTTTGTCCCCCTACAGGGCATTTTCGTTGCAGTGTCTGAATCAGAAAATACAATTTTACTTTGCTTTATAGAACAGTCAAGGGAATGATAGGCTAATAAGTGCTTGCGTGTGTGGTGTGCGCAGCTTTTTCAAAGGCCACTCTTCAACTAGCATTGGTGTCTTTGGAGAGACAAAGGAAAAAAAAAACCCAAACTTCACTTTTGACAGATTTAGAAGTACTTGCCTGTCTCATCCTGAAACTCAAATTCATTCTCCAATGTGTGCTTTAAAATATTCTTTTGCACTAGGCACAATTCCAAGTCTTTCTGCCTATTTAGAAATGTGCAGCAAGAAAGTTTTGATTATTTCCTTATTCCAGTCATATGTCCTCCCATTTGTCATTAATGACCATTAGTCTGTGTTTTCAGTGATGCCTGGTCATGGGGCATTGATACTGTAATCATTCTCATTTCATTACTTGAACTCCTAGAAAACATGGTTGCAATATCCACAGTGTTAAATTTAAACTAGCACTGTCAGGCCTCCCTGGTGGTGCAAGGGATTAAGTCTCAGCACTATGAAGCTGTTGCCAGCTACTGCAGCATGAGCTTGATCCCCTGCCAGGGAGCTAAGCCACATGGCATAGCAGACCTCTCCTGTCTGGCCTGCTGCTCCCCTCGGCAGTGTATTTCAGTCGATCTGCCTGTTCTGCTCCCTACTCTGTCTCTGGCGAATCCTCTCACCCCCCACACCTCTGGCCTGTACCTCAGCTCTTGTATGCATAAATAAATAAAATAAATCTTAAAAAAAAACTAGCACTGTCTTAATACAAAGCACAACAGTTAGTCCTCAGTCAAAGGCAGACTGTTACCACACAACTATAATATACACAGATTGCACTTTTAAGTCACATTCAGAACGATGCAGTAATGGATGATGCATTATTGTGTGTCATAAATTATATATTGGGGAAATGACAACAGCCACTATGAAAGGTAGTTATCTTCTGAAATTTAATCTCCACTGAGACTTTTTTTCCAGAATCCAGATTTGCGTCTCAGTTACGTACCCAGCATCTCTATTGATCTCTGGAAACCTCAGTCTTACATCTTCAGAGCTGAACTCCTGCTGCTAAAGCTGCTCCAGGTGCCTCCCTGGTGGCCTAAGGGTTAAGTCTCAGCGCCATCACTGTGACAGCCTGAGTTCTGTCTGGCCAGGGAGCAACCCACATGGCGCAGCAGACCTCTCCTGTCTCCCTGCTGCTCCCCTCAGCAGTGTATTTCAGTCAGTCTGCCTGTTCTGATCCCCACTCTGTCTCTGGTGAATCCTCTCACCTCCCACCCCCACACCTCTGGCCTACATCCCAGTTCTTGTGTGCATAAATAAATAAATAAATAAAAGCCAATCTTAACAAAAATAATAAATAAATAAAGCTGCTCCAGCCTCAGCTTTATCTGTTCTTCAGTTTGTTCAGATCCAGACTTTGGGGCCTTCTTGACCCCTCTTCTCTCACACTCAGTCCATTTCACTAGGAAATCCTGTTGGCTACATCTTCAAAATACCTCCATAGTCCAACTACCTCCCTGTTAATCACTCCCAGCATGTGCCACCATCATTCAAACCTGGGTTTCTGCAGCAGCCTCCTCCTCCCTGTTCTTCCAGTTTCTACTTTGCTTCCATCTGAGTGTTCTCAGTACAATAGCCAGAGGGATTCTTTTCAAGAAGTCAGAATATATGTCATTTATCTGTCTAAAATTGCAGGCACACATCATCTCAGAGCAAAGCACAAGTCCTTACAGTAGCATCCAAAGCCCTGTGCATTCTAGGCACCTTTTTTATTGCTTCTCTAACCTTATTTCCTCCCTCCTTCCCAGTTAGGTGGCCTCCTTTCAGCTCTTGGAACACTCCAGGCTTGGCCCTGCCTCAGGGTATTTGCATGATTATTCTGCTGGGAACTTTCTCCCAGATAAAGTGACTGTCACCTCTAAATCCTTCTCTAAAGTCACCTTCTAGTCATCCGATGATATACCAACATACCTCAGACACCTATCCCATGCCCAGCACATCTGATAACCTGCTCTCTCCTCCTTATCATCTCTTCACATACCATTTGAAGCACTTATTTACTAGGTTTATTGTTTATTGTCTCCCCGCTCTCCCCAGAAAGGGATTCTATGAGACAGGAATCTTTGTCTCCTTTGTTCACTGATATACCCAAGGCAACTAGAATAGTGTGGCACATAGTCAGGGTTCAGTAAATATTTTAGAATGATCAAAGGAGGAAGTCACCATTCTGTGTTCAGGTCACAACCTAAGAGTATGGTTGTAGTTGTGGTGGTGAGGTACAAGGGCAACAAATGGTGGTAGAGTGGTGGACTGAGGTCTAGAGATCTAGTGGTCTGTAGTTGTCTTCTCTCACCTTCTGCCCTAAATGACTCTACCTAAATGATTGAAGTTGCATCGTTGTCTCGGGAAGAAGGTTTTTGTTAAAATATATATATTTATTTATTTATTTATTTATACAAGAACCAGGGTACAGGCCAGATGCATGGGAGTGTGAGAGGACACACCAGAGTCAGAGCAGGGAACAGAACAGGCAGACTGATGAAATACACTGCTGAGGGGAGAAGCGGGAGCGACAAGAGAGGTCTGCCGTACCATGTGGGACCCTCGCTGGCCAGTTGGGATTGAACTGGCGCTGCAGAGGCTGCGGACAGCTTCACAGCACAGCACTCTACAGCCTGCACCACCATGGGAGGCCCTGGGGAAGACGGTTTATAGGAAATACAAGTACATATCCCCTGCATCAGGAGACCTACCACTGCACAGTGTGAGGGGATGTGCACGTTTGGCATCCAGTACAGAAGGTGCACTGTTGGAGAGATGGAAGGGTGGGGGTGCAGAGCAAGGATTACTGGCTTGAGCCTGAGACTCTCAATATAGAATAGCTGAAGCCTGAGTCAGTGAGGAAAAAAAGAATGAATCACCTGTTTCTTCATAGAAGAGGCTACTACTCAAAGCAGACGCTGGGATATTTAAAACACTTGCCTCTCTCCCATCCCTCCACCCCCCGCTGAATCCAAAACAACAAATGAACACTTGCATAAACCAGAGTTTAAACACATTAATAACAGGAGCAAATACCCCAGGATAAAACTCTGTGCTAGAAAAAAGCAGATGTATTTTTGTCAAAGAGCATCTTTGGACTCTGTTTGTTTGTTTGTTTAAAAGAATTATTCCTTTATTGTAAGATTTTTACTTATTTATTTTTTTAAATTTATATTGTGTAGAAAAACTGGGTGTAGACTAGAGGTCAGGGTAGTGAAAGGATTCCACCAGAGACAAAGTGGGGAACAGAACAGGCAAATCCACTGAAATACATAGCTAAGGGGAGCAGTGGGCAAAACAGGAGAGGTCTGCTGCACCATGTGGGTAGCTCCCTGGCCAGGGATGGAACTCAGGCCAATGAGGTGGGCCTTTGCATTAGGCGGCACTGAGACTTAACCCCTTAGGCCACCAGGGAGGTCCTTGACTATGTTTTTAAAGCCTTCTGAACCATGACTTGAAGCCAACAGAGTAGAATGTGAACAGTCCATAAAAAGAGAAAATGTAGATAGAAAAAAATGTAAATAGGGCCTCCTTGGTGATGCAAGATAGCACTATCAAGCTATCTGCAGCCACTGCAGCACAAGTTCAATCCCTGGCCAGGGAGCTACCCACATGGCGCAGCAGACCTCTCCTGTCTCATGTGCTGCTCCTCTCAACAGTGTATTTCAGTCAATCTGCCTGTTCTGTTCCCTACTCTGTATCTGGTGAATCCTCTCACCCCCTGCATCTCTGGCCTGCACCCCCATTGTTGTATGCATAAATAAATAAAAATAAATCTTTTTAAAAAAGAAAAAATGTAAATATCATGAAACACAAAGCCCATGAACAAGACTCCATTAAAATAGGCTAAAGAGATATTGCCTGGACCACTCCCTAAAGCCACTGTTGGTTTAATTAGGGATACTTGAATAAGAACTGTATGTTAAATAAGAGTTTCCAGAAATGTTAAATGCTGTGGGTTTGATAATGGTAGTGACTTAATATAGAAGAATGGGGCTTCCTCTAGTGGCGCAGCGGTTGAGCACTGGGCTGCGAAGCTGCCCGCAGCCTCTGCAGCGCCGGTTCGATCCCCGGCCACCAGTGAGGGAGGGTCCCACATGGTGCAACAGATCTCTCCTGCCACCTGCTGCTCCCCTCAGCAGTGTACTTCAGTCCTTCTGCCTGTTCTGCAACCTGCTCTGGCTCTGGTGAATTCTCTCACCCTCCCACGCTCTGGTGAATTCTCTCACCCTCCCACGCTCTGGTGAATTCTCTCACCCTCCCACGCTTCTGACTGTACCCAGTGCTTGCATAAATAAATAAATAAATAAATAAATAAATTGTTAAAAAAAATAATAATAATAATATAGAAGAATGTCCCAGGAGATGCACATTGAAGTATCTAAAGGTAAAGTATCAGAATAAAATTTTCAAATAGTTGAGGAGGGAAAAAAGTATATACGTCTCAAATATATAGATATACTAATATCAATACTATTATTCACATATGTATAGTTAAAATGTACATATATAGATACTATGTATAAACATCTATCTTTCTACAGAAAACAAATATGGAAAAAGGTTAACATTTCATAAAGGAAGGTAAAGGGTATATGGTACTGTGCTTGCAACATTTTGTAGATTTGAAAATTTCTGAAATAAATGGTTGGGGAGAAATGAATATATAAAGTACAAAAAGTTCTGGAGAAGAACTTCTTGAATCTCCAGAAAGATTGCCTTTTCTAAAAAACAAAAAATTCTGAGATAGAATTTAATGATTTAAAGTATAATGTAATTGATTAACACTTAATTGGTTGAGTTCATTTCAATTCAGTAAGCTGAAAAACCATGCATGACATCTAATTCAAGTTTTTTTAAATCATGACTCTTTCTGCTTGGCTAAGTGCCACTCACATATCCATCTTTCCAAAAAGGAAAGAGATTTGGTAACGTTGTTGCTGCTCCAGTCTAAGCTCTGGCTTTGCACATGACTCGCCTTTTCTACATTTTAAAGCTGAAATGAGAATGACTCAGATGGTTGTTAGTCTTCTTGTCTGGTGAGGGACGGTTCTTCAGCCTTGTTGCCTTCATCTTCCTCCCTCACAATGTTCCCATTTCCTACATATACTATTGTTTACATAGACACAGAACCTTTAACTTACATCACATCATCTATGTGAGTCCTTCATGCTGACCGCTTTTAAATTCAGGCTTTTAAATTCCTTACAATTCATAACTGCAGTTTCCTGAACTATTACAGAGAAAGGCTGAGCACTCCCACTGCCCACCTGTGACTATCGGGATGCCTCTTTTCTTTTTTAAAGATTTATTATTTTTTTTTTATTTATACAAGTGCTGGGGTACAGGTCAGATGCGTGGGAGGTGTGAGGATTTACCAGAGACAGAGCAGGGACCAGAACAGGCAGACTGATGAAATACACTGCTGAGGGGAGCAGCAGACGAGACAGGAGAGGTCTGCTGCGCCATGTGGGATTCTCGCCGGCCAGCCAGGATAGAACCCGCGCTGCGGAGGCTGCGAACAACTTCACAGCGCGGCGCTCAACTGCCTGCGCCACCAGGGGAGGCCCAAGTGCCTCTTTTCATCAACTCTTTCCCTCTGCAGGGCAGCAGCTTTCTGGCTGCCCATGCCCTGTACCATGCCTGGGCTTCTCTTCACGGACATCCCTGTGTGGAGGCAGCTCTCCTCAAGGTCACCTGCCTGCAACAATGCAGGCCTCTCGTAGCAAAAGCTGTCCCTTTCCCTAATAAACCTGCTCTTTAAATATTTAGAGAGAGAGAGAGAGAGAGAGAGAGAGAGAGAAGGGCTAAGGTTTTGTTTTTTTCTTTTTTAAAAAAAAGATTTATTTATTTATGCATACAAGAGCTAGGGTACAGGCCAGAGGTGTGGAGGGTGAGAGGATTCACCAGAAACAGAGTGGGGAACAGAACAGGCAGATTGACTGAAATACTCTGCTAAGGGGAGCAGCGGGCAGGGCAGGAGAGATCTGCTGCGCCATGTGGGTTGCTCCCTGGTCGGCCGGGGATCGAACTCCTTCTGCAGTGGCTGCGGATAGCTTCATAGGTTGCGTCTTAACCCCCTGCGCCACCAGGGAGGCCCTGATCCTTATTTTTAAATAATTAAGCCATGTGACTTATTTTTCACTTGTTAATATACCATCTGTACCCCTAGTCTAGGATTTAATTTGGAAAGATTTGTTTTCTACTGGTAAGACTGTAGAAAATGTGTACTTAAGACTACTACTGGTAGAAACGAGTATTTCCAAACATTTCTATAGTGCAGATGTGAGGGCTTGTTAAAACTGGGATTTCTAGGCTCGTACCCTGGAATTTCTCATCTAGGAGGACTGGGGTGAAGCCAGAGAATTTGCATTTTGACAAGTTCCCAGATGCTGCTGATCCTGGCACTGCTGGTCCATGGACTACACTTTGAGAACAACTGATAAAGACTATTTTTATTACATTTAACTAAAGCCAGAAAAACATGCCCAAACTTTGACCCAGGATAAATGAAGATGAAGCTTTTTTTAAGCTTCCCCCACCTTACCCCCAGGGTTTGTCACAGAGCCACCTAGTTATGCAGTGCCAGCCCCCCAGCACAGGGAATGCATGAAGCCATAATTCACCAGAGACAGAGCCAGGGGCTCAGAGGCTGGTGAGAGAGCAGAGGGAAATGCCTGCAGGGCTATTCCCAGCTCACTTATCCTACTAAGTCTTTTCCGAGGCACATACAAGTCTAACTTATATAGTTGACTAATTTATCTCATTATCTATAGCAGGCACTTGAGAAACACTGACTGAGTAAATGACTATACATACAGATCCTTATGTTCATAAAATTCTTTTCTATAAGGATCCAAAGAAAAGGACAGTGCATGTTCTATACACAGGGAAAATGGGGGGTGGAGCGGGAATGAGCATAAGTTTAGCCCTTTGAATTTGTTCTACCAATTGTTAAAAACAAGAAAGCCCGTCCAAAATGGAGTCATTTGTGCTAAGCCCTACAGCACCACACCAAGATTTAGTTTAATTATAGCTCCCACTCTCCCAGAAAAGGAATCTTAAACCAGACCATCAGGAGTTGCCCCCTCGGCACTAGTGAGATAATCTGCCTGATAGACCCCTGCCTTTCTCTAAAGAATTGTGCCCTTGCCATAATCAGCCTGCTTTTTGTGCCTAGTATGACATCCTTATTCCTGCTTCCTTCTGCCCATAAAAGTCTTTCATTTTGCACAGCTCCTCATAGCTCCTTTCCATCTGCTAGATTGAATCAATTTTTTACTCAAAGTAAAATTTTAAGCATGCTTCAGTTTGGCACACATACCCTAAGTGTGGTTAGTTAGCTCACGGTGTGGGGGTCATCTGAGATTACTTGAGACAAGTTCAGTGTTTACATAACATCCTGCCACTTGGCTGTGAGCCTGAACGTAAGGCCCTACCTTAGCCACTCAGAGCCTGGCTCTGCCCAGTCTAACCCTGGGGGTGGGGGGTCCTAGATGCCCCTCCTGAAAACCTGAAGTTTCTAACCCTTTGTACAGACCCACAGTATTGACAAGTGTCAAGTAACAACAATTAATAAGAGAAAGAGGCATGCCTGTGGCTACTTTAGGAAGGTGAGATATCTCTAAGTCCAATGAGTTCAAGGTCAGATGAGAATCCAGGTATCTAAAAGGGAGACAAGAAGGAACTATTTAAAGAGAGAGAAAAGGGAGAAGCTATGAACTAGGTCTGCCATGATTTGTAAGCATCTCGGTAGGGGAGCGGGAGTAGGGTCCAGGAATTAGAAGATGCTTAGTAGCTACAGTTTGGAACTGAAGAACCAAGCAGGAGGACCTGTCTGATTCCCCCTGCTACAGAGGGGAATTCAGAAAGAGCCAACAAGCTGTAAGCACCCTCCTCAACAAAGCCAGGAGTAGCTTCTACCATAGGTAACTGCTGACCTAGTTAACTTGTTCAATAAATATGTATGAGACACTGTTGTGTCAACCTTAATGTCAGAAAAATCATTTTGATTAGACATAGGAGACTGAGACTGCTTACTAGAGACTTTTTGGAGGACCAATACCACAAGGAAGGTGCCATGCATTCCTGTTAATATGGAAGAAAAGCTGAAGGCTTTTTCCTTGCCTTTCTCACTTGACAGATGTATAGACACTAGGAGTGGATATCGCTCTCCTCTAGATTTTCTGTTGTCTCGCACCCCACAGCAGCTGCAGTGCTTGCCCAGCAGAGGGCAGTCTGGATGCAGGCAATCTCTTCCAGCCACCTGCTTAGGAAACTGGACAGATGGGTACCTAGCCCCCTCACTGCGCACTGAAGTTTGGGCATGATGCCCACGGCTGGCGGCCCAGCACTAGAGAAGCAGGATTCACAGGAGGCGGTAAAAGAGACTGTTTTGGATTCTCCCCTAAGCTGCGACGGTTCTGCCTGGCAGATGCTCAGCCCTGGCACCCTGCCACGCTCAGTCTCTAGAATCCTGGGATGAAGGATAATTTCCTTCTCATCCCAGTGCAGGCTACTTGCTCTGTTTCTACTCAGTATTTGGAATCTGATTTTCTAAGGTTCGGAATCTGAGAGGTCCAGAGCTGGAAAGGACTAGGGGGCTGCTAGCTCTGGCATTGCCATTTCAAATAACGTCAAAGGCAGGCAGGGAGCCTGAAGTTGTGAAGTCGACTAAGGGTGAGGTGGAAGGGCGGGACAGAGGCTTTGTTGACCTGGAAGACAAGTCGTGTGCATAGGCACTGAAATTCAACGTTTTTTCTAATTGTAAAGTAAAACACAGATATGGGCAGAGTTGGGGTGCTGGGTGCCAAGTCTCCCCCTTCACCTTAAAACGAAGAAATGAAGGTGCAGTGAGGGAAAGCTACTCACTCAAGATAGTCCCCAGTTCCGTCTCTCCCCAGAATCCTATCCCTTTGGTGTTGTTTGTGCCTTGGGGCCACAGTGTAAGTACTAAGTCACAATACCTGGGGATGACTCGGACCTTCAGATATGCCTACCCCAAGGCTGCTGAGTAGTCTGAGATTGCTTCATTTCCTTCCTTGGGCATCAATTCCGTTTGGAGAAAGCAGCCTCCCCCAGAACACAGTGAGTCACAGCCTCTGAGGTGACTTGTGGGTAGCTTGACACCAAGGCAGAACCTCCCCTCCCGCTGTTTTTTCCAATAAATACTTCCAGCTGTGGAGCTCCACTTCTTCCGGCCACCTCCCTGTGGCTG